TAATTTTTCCCTTTTTAAACAGATGTCTCTAACAGTAAACCACAAATCTATTTATGCGATTTTTGTATAGTTGTTGTTCATGTATGCTTTATTTTTTTATAGATCTGATGATGCCATTTGAAGTGAAACATGTCACCCATATTTAAAATTAAATTTATGTTTTAATAAACGATAATGTAGATTTCGTGTGTTTTTTACGTTACTTATATTTAGTGCAGTATCTGAGAGAATGTAAATAATGGGTGTTTTTTTTTCGATGTATAGAACTGTAAGTTGGCATTACTGTTCAAGATGGCTACCGATTTAACAGCTGTCAAGTAATTTATTCTCAGTTTGGTTTGACAATTCATCATGCCTGAACAACGCTTGCAAATAGTGCAATTTTATTTCGAAAATAATGGTTCTGTGCGGAACACGTATCGCGCACTACGTCCATTTTATCGTCAACAAAATCGTCCATCAGAGCAGTTAATTCGATTAACCATGGAACGTTTTCGCGCTACGTTTACTCTTATTGATAACTCGCATCCCCAGAGATGCCGTACGGTGCGTACAGAAGAAGCTATTGCTGCTGTAGAGCGTAGCAATGAGGAAGACCCGAATGAGTCCATCCGCCAACGAGCACAGGAATTAGATCTGTGTCCATCCACTTTATGGAACATTTTGCGGAAGGATCGAGATTGTCGTTTTTCCCGATTTTCATAAGCGAATTTTGTTTAGCGGTGAAGCGCACTTCTGGTTAAATGGCTACGTCAACAAACAAAACTGCCGCATTTGGAGCGAAGCTAGTCCTCAAGTGTATGTCGAAACACCGTTACAAACTGACTGTTTGGTGCGCTTTATGGGCTGGTGGAATCATTGGTCCGTACTTCTTCAAAAACGATGATGGCCAGAACGTTACAGTCAATGGTGATCGGTATAGAGCTATGATTACTAACTCTTTCATTCCTGAATTGAATAACCATGATGTCCAGGAGATGTGGTTTCAACAAGACGGCGCAACATGTCACACAGCTCGTATCACAATCGATTTATTGAAAGACACGTTTGGTGACCGCCTAATTTCACGTTTTGGACCTGTGAATTGGCCTCCAAGATATTGTGATTTAACACCGCTAGACTACCTTCTGTGGGGCTATGTAAAGTCATTGGTCTATGCGGATAAGCCACAAATGCTTGACCATTTGGAAGACAACATTCGCCGTGTTATTGTCGATATACGACCACAAATGTTGGAAAAAGTCATCGAAAATTGGACATCCGCACCAGCCGTGGCAGTCATATACCAGAAATCATATTTAAAATATAATGCCACAAGATTATCTTTCGGACAAATAAAATTCATGTCAATCCAATAGTCCATCGTTGTTGTATTGCATCTTAAAGTTCTATACATCGAAAAAAAACACCCCTTATAAATGTAGATACGGGGTGTTAAACGTTAAACTTCTAGATTCGTAAAAAATTACTTAAACGATAACTAACTGCAATTTACAGGAGAGTATCTGAAAACTTTTGGGTCAAACTTATGACCGACAACGTAATTATTGTGACTTTTGCCGTTGCACACTGCACACTCGTGTGGAATCCAGACAAGTACTGATTTTTACGGCGAGGTCATAGGGGCCGGAAGCGGGGCTGTCTCTGTGGTGATGGTGGGTCTGGACCTGGCTAACGTAATTTGTTTACAGATACCCATTTTTTTTAAGGGTTGTGGCGTTCTTTATTGTTTTTCAAACATAACTCCCCCTTGGAGGTTTTTGACAGGAAAACTTCAATATTTTCTTGACTCAACAACCATGAAAATACACATTGTGTTCCTAAATTTATACCTAATACAATACGTTTTCACACAAAATTAGTGTTTATTGTCACAATCATGCATGTTGTCCTCATCAGGTAGGATATATATTTTGTGATTGATACGTAATTTGACAGTTCGGCTTTCCCACCAGGACCGGTAATGACTTCGGTAATTCCTACAAGAGGCCAATTTAAAGGCAAAGTGTTGGCATCCTTAAGAAGTACAACTTGATTTATTTTAAAATTCTAAGAAGGCATGAACCTTTTTGGTCTTTGTTGTAACCTATTTAAGTACTTAATCGACTATCTTTTTAAAAATTGTTGTCTAAATTTGATGCATTTTTGATAGACAAAAAGACGATTTTTTTTACCACTAACAACTTTTTATCGGGATATGTTGAAAAGCTGTCACCTATCAAAAAATGATCCGGCGTTAAAGAGTTTAAATCGGTAGGGTTGTTTGATAATGCGATTAGTGGTCTAAAATTTAAAATGCTTCCTACTGTTGCTACAATACTGTGAAGTTCTTCAAAAGCTAATGGAGTGTTGTCCACTATTCTTGGTACTTTTTATAGCGGCTTCACAAACACTCGGTGTCATTTTCGCATAAAAATTTTTGGACCTCTTGCGAATTGTATTTATTTCTAAAAAAATCATAAAGTTCATTCAATTAATTGCTAGAGCCTAGCAAGTTTGTTGCATTATCAGAATAGATAATTGCGGGGTTGTCACGTCTAGCAATAAATCGTTTTAAAGTTAAAAAAAATGAATCAGTGGATAAACTGGAAACTAATTCAATATGCACACATCCGGTGACCATACACACCAATATTGCGATATAAGCTTTGATTATCGGGGCGCAACGTAAGTGCGAGCTTTTGATCAGATATGGACCAGTGAAATCAATTCCCGTTTTTAGGAAAGGATGGACTCTGTCTTTTGGCAAGTCTGCCATCATTTATTCTGTTCCTTTTGCTTTGAATCGTTAATAGATAATTAATAGTTAACATTATTTAGGGACCTGCATTGTGAAGTTTCAAATAGGATTGGATGTTTTTGTGAATGGGACTTCTGCATTAGATCGACTTCCACCCACGCGTAAAACGCTTGAATTGTCAATGAACAAATTGTTGTTGTTTTGAACATTTTTCTTTAGGGTGTGGTGATTTTACTCTTGGAAAATTTATTGTGAATATATCTCAAACAAAAAAATGTCGGAAAAGTAATCATTTTGTAAAACTGTAGTAGCTAAAGTTGCTTTCTTCTGTTCTGGAAGGTTCGTTAAACTTGGGGTACAGTTGAGTGTGTTTAAATCTAAATCGAAATTGTGTAAATATTCGGGACCGTTGAACCAAGCAGTGGATTCTAATGAATTCATTAGGACTGAGTCCTCTGGAAACATAGTCTGGTGGATTATTTTGTGATTGAACATATCTCCATATAGAACTAGAAGTTTGCTCTAGATTAATTGATATCCGGTTTGGTACAAAAATATTACATTTGTTAAGGTGAGAGCGTAGTCAGGCTAAGGAATTTTGAGAATCTGTCCATAAATTAACCGAGTCTATTGTGTACAAATTTTCATATATTTTGGTAACTCGATCAATTGAGATAATAGCACACATGCGCATAACTCTAACCTAGGTAGGCTTACAGTTTGTAAAGGGGAGACGCGAGATTTAACTCATATTAAATTGCACTGTGCAGCCTCAACCCTGTGCCCTGAGGCTCCCGTAGGCAAAACTGTGAATTTGAATTTTTTTAATCTTGTTCTCATTTGTTAAACATCTATGAATTTTTAGGCTAAATAAATCATGGATATTTTGTATGAACTTGTATCATTCATTCAATATATGAGATTGTATATTTGGATTCAAAGAAATTTCTAAAACTTTATTTGGAGTACGTTTTGAATTCAAAATCGCTGATCGAAATTATCGAAATTATTTGCACTTCTTATGATGTCGTCCATATAGGTTTGTCATTTTAGAGCTTTTAAAGATAGAGATTTATTTTAATTTTTATCTGCAAGGTCTACAAGATATCTCGTCGAAATGTAAGGGGCAAAATTTTTTACCACAACTTACGGTTAATAATTGGACAAATTTGAAATGGCTATTGGGTTCTTCTGTCTAAAAGGTCTAAAAGGTGGGATAATTGAATTTCTTGGTTAATTCTATTGCAATTAAAAAAAACCTGTGATCCATTGCACAAGGACTGCAAGAATATTTTCTCTGTCGTTGTATTATTTGAAGATGCTTTATTAAAATGTAATAATGAATTGTGTGCCTGGTCGCAGAGGAAAATATAGTACGGAACACTTTGATAAACTTCTGCTTCTTGCCGTTTTGTTCTCTTTTTTAATTGGTACCTGCACTTACCCTTATATGTAGAAACTGAACCTGCTTATAAATTTAGTGATATCATATTTAAAAAGATTTTGATTTCATTTCACTGGCTGAAACCCGGCAAATCAAAATGCTATCTCTATTTCTAATGAGTATATAATACACGTAAACAACATCTTTCGTTATTTTCTTCATCTGTTCTTTGTCCATCCAAATGTCAAAAAAATGTTATACTTGTCATTATCTTTTGCGAGTTTTATTTGGTAATAATTTAAGTGATTCCGGGAAATGCCGCATAATTAACTATGATTCCTGTTTTAGAGTGGAATTTTAAATTTTTACAATTAAAATAAATTGAATGTTTCCTTTCTACCTTTTCTTTAGCGAGAATCGACATAAAAATTAGTTTTTGTCATTATTTTAACATTTACCTATATTGCGTTAAAAAATCAAAGTTCTAGTGTGTTTTTCTAGAGACAGTTTCTCATATCAAAATTACAGGCTAAAGCGAAAGTTAATGTATCAATCATTTTTATTTAGGAACGTTGTCTTAGAATGAACGATAACAATCAAATTTATCTCCACTCAATTTTTAACGAAGTAATTTATCACAGCTAATATAAATTGCCTGTGACAAATTAACGACTATTTTGATGACATCTAAAATTTGAGTGTTATGGCTTGTTCGTTGCTAAGTATAAAATAAAAAGCAAAAAAGTTATATAAAAATGAAGGCAAAGCAATCTAAAAAATATATATTGCGGATCGAAATTTGATTTAAAAAATGCGTGCTTTAAGCCCGGAAAGCTTCTAGAATAAAATAAATATAAAAAATCCCTTGTGTTCCAGCCCGACTCCCTCATAGGAAAGTATACCGACCCTCACGCGTACTGCGTGGTGTACAGCTGTTCTGATCGCTCCAGCTTCGATTGTGCAGAGAAAATACTGCAGAACTTGTGGACTCTCGACACCATTGGAACAAAGGCTGTTATATTAGTTGCGAATAAGGCTGACTTAGTACGTTCTAGAGTAATCACGACAGAAGGTGAGTCGGAACTTACGGAAATAATTTTTTTCAACTTCCCATACTATAGCAGCTAATTATGTACGGCATTTTAACCTGTTTGAGTTATGTAATAAACCGAACTATCGCACTAATGATATAATGAAAAGGAGTTCCGTTCCTATATCCACCAGAATGGACATGGACATGAATGGTGAAAGCAACATCCGGTATTTAACTTTGGTAAATCTTTATGAAGGTCTAACCGCAGGGTTTGGGTTTCTTTTTGTAAAGTCTGTTCATAGATATAAGAAAGTGACTAACTGATACGAATTAAGGAAAGATCCGGGCAAGCTGTACGAATGAAATATGGCCAAACAGGTCCGTACTTTGCTTAGAATTTAATTATTTGGGGTTTTGTTAGGAAAGATATTAAACAATATTTATTTATTTATGTATGTATTTATGTTTAAATCTAAAATAAAATTACAAATTATTTTTATTACCTACTTAAATTACTTAAAATTATTCACATCGAAAATCAGTATCACTATCGCTATCATCCGCTGTTTTAATTATTATTCGTTCTATATTATTTGCAATATGGATATACGATTGTGCTGCTTTTTCTATATGTTTAACAGAATTTGCCCAGCTTTGTGGAAGGTTGTTAAAAACTTCGGTTTCTATAAGTTTGAAGACATTGGAGTTAACACGGGGAAAAACATTGTTCCGACGAATGGCAGATTTCATTTGGAGCAAAACATGTTCAATGGGATTAAATATGCAGTGGTAAGGTGGAAGCCTTAAAACTTTATGCCCTAGATTTCTTGCATAATTATCACAGACCTATTTCTTTTGTAGGTTCAAGCTTTGTAGAACCTCAATTAATTGCTTTTTGGTATATTCTTCGTCAAAATAAATGTCGTTATTATACATGTAGTTGCTGCTTTTGTGTCACATGATTAAGGGCTTTTAATCAACTGTCTACTGTGATAACTTGCATTGTCCATTACAATGACGCTATTAGGAGGAATGTTTGGAACTAGTTTGTTTTTAAACCAACTTTCAAATAAATCAGCCGTGGTGTCTTCATGGTAATCCAGAAAAGAATCTTTAATATTTTTCGCAGACAGAGAAAGTCCATTTGGAATCCAACCATCTTTAGCGCCAGCATGCAAAATAGTTATTCTTTTACCTCTTTTTGATGGCGCGTTTGTTTTACACTTATCAGTTGAGTCCACCAAACCCTTTTCCGGGTTTCATCCAAGTAAATAATTGGCCTTTGATGTTCTCTGTAAATCCTAATTTTTTCTAGATATTCCAGTCACCATTTCCGAATTCTAAAAGATTCCATTAAAACTTGCCTTTTGTCAATTTTTTTAAATCTAAAACCCATGTATTGAATACACTTCCATAAGGCAGTTCTGCCACATTTAACACAGGTTTCATTTTTTCAAGCCTCCTAATTAGGATATTTAATGTAGGCACGCTTTGTTCCTCGTATAACTACACTCGAGAAAATGTCGGCATCGCTTCTTTTTTTCCTCGCTGAAATGGGATTATTCACAATTTTCCATACAGTTGATGTTGGAATTTTCGTCAATGTGGCCGTTTCTTCTAAAGATGCTTGCTTGCTGGCACCACGTTCAATGAGAGTCAAATAAACATTGTTTATAACTTCCTTAGTCTCAATAGAATAGTGTTTTCTATATTTGGGCGGGAGCATCTCCTGACATACACTAGACTCGCACACATTTTGCATAATTCGCACACGATTCAACATACGCTGTATTACACACGAAATAAGAATGATTACTAATAAACTTAAACTAAGTAGTATACCAAACCAAAGAATATTAAACACAGGTAGGTATAAAATTATTTTCTATTACGGACCACAATTTTACCTGAATTTTAAATCCGAAACTTTAGGCAACAGTCTTGTTGCATTGTATGTTAATGACCACCCTTGGATAATCCCATTCAAAAGCAATTGATCACTTTCGTATATCTATAAACAGACCATACCCCTCAATAAATTGATTTACAATTTCGCAATGACGTTCCAGATCCATACTTCAGTAGTTCGTGCATACAAAAACTTGTCTCTTATTGATGGATTTGTAATAAAAATTTATTCTTCGTACACGAAAAGTCTCGTGGCAACAGTAAATGTTCAAGACACTACTCAACTCTTCGTGTAAAGTTTTAGTTGTTAAAACAATATTCTTCTAATACGCATCATACACCATACCGTCTCACCATTCCGGTATGGTGCATGTCAAGTAGACTTTTTGGGACCCCACGATCTTTCCGCCTTTTTTTTTCTTGGACACCAGACAAATATGTCACATACTGTGGGTATACTGTGTTTTAGTCATCTCGGAAGTTAATTTTATAGCTCCGCCCTCCCCAGATGTCGATTTCCGAAACAGAAGTCTAAAGTTATAATTTTGACAGCAACCGAAAAATGATTTCAAGACTTTGTTCATTTGAATTTGACGGATGTTCATCATCAACGATTATTACGTCGTCGACCACAATCTCAAATTCTTCCCCGCTGGACATCGCAAGTGACTACCAAAATACAAAAAAATGTAATAAAATGTATATGGTACCTCAATAAAAATGGCATACTGAAAAGCAATTGAATAACAGTAAGTTGGTAATTACGAATTACAAACACAAGACAGAATAGGAATAACTCCAAAGCTTCGACTGCGAAGAAAATACTGTTTCATGAAATTGACAGTATACTCCGATTGCACTAACCCCCACAAACCAACCAATTATATCAACCATGATAAATCAATTATCTGCATAAGTGTATTGCTTTCCTAGGAAAATATTTTAGAGGCATTACGTTGAACCCTTAAATTGTAAATTAGTTTAAGCTTTCGAGCTACCTAGCTAAGTAGGGACTGTTTTAGAAAAAATTATAAAAAGCACACCAATATTAATTATTATAACAGTTTATTCAAAGAAAATTTCCCACTCTTGAAATACAAGTGTGTATAAGTCCGCACGCCACAGTTCTTGTCTGCTACAATATCTTAAATACGGCACTGGCTTGTGGTACACGTGCTAAAAAGAATGGTGCCTTCTGCTTTACAACAGGCGGGTCTTAAACTCATTCCGCAGGCAAAAACATAAAAGGTTGTAAAAACAGTATACCGTTTGGAGAATTCTACCTGGAAGTCTTGGTTTTGGTATTCTATATTTGAATGTGGTATGTGCTGTCCTCATCTATGACATTTTATTTTCTTTTCACTTAGTTTTGTTGACTCTTGCTTTCTGCAAACACCAGAAATTTTAATGTGCCCATTTTTTAAAATTCCCTTAATAAAATTTCGAATAGCTTACGTCAGTTAGCATAAATTTCTTGTCATTCGCTATTACTAAAAAATGAACAATTGCTTCTTTTTTAAAGACCCTGCTCATTTTTACTTAATTATTTTTGAACAACTTGATAATATCTATATTATTCGTCACACAGGTTGGTTCCTTTCAAAATATGCAAGAAATACCTTTCCCATAAACAGTGTTTGATCTCTCTCCGTGACACTAAGTCGTAAAACGACCATGAACGTTCTCGTATTTTTCCTTTGACTTTTGTGGAAAAATTGAGGACACAGCGTTCTGGACAATTTCAACTATGGTTCGTCAGCTATGCTTTTCAAAGTGTACACTTTAAAAAAAGAAAGTTTTAATTTTCATTTCTTGCGACCTGAGCAACCAACGATTGTAGTGTAAACTACAATAAATTTGTTCTTCTACAATTTAACATAAACATCTATTTCTTTTCTATGATGGAAACATTATTTTACAATTTTGAATAAAAACAACTAGAACTATAAACACAATGATACCCATTTGTAATGACGTTTTTGATGAAAGTCGAATGGTAATAAAAAAATATTTTTCTAAAAGAACACCTGGGGTCAGTCAGACTTCGACAAATAACGTATCAGTCATTTCTTAACCTCGCCACGAAACAGGACACTAGATTTTATTCAGGAAGACCAGTCTATCGAAATAATCAAACACCACAATAATATAAACCGCGATACAGGTTTAAGCTAGTTGCGGATCAATTATCACATCAGTTTCACACAGCGCTCTGAAGAAGCCAGCAGCATGTTTGGCGAAACGTCAGCGATACACAGTCAACACTGAGCGCAGAAACAATCCAGAAGATGCGCACCTAGAAAGAAAGTTATTTTTGTTTAATATGATCAAAACAGTGTTGAGAACAAGTTTATTCATTCTTTATATACATTTATTTAAGGTTATGTGAAATATCGTCTAAAGTTTTTTTTTGTAATTGATATATTTAAAAATGAAATTAAAAGTCTACACGCGGGACGTTACATTAACATTCTCACGGTAACATGATATTTTTGCCCAACATCCTATAGTGAACCAGCATGACCTGGTCGTGTCAATAGTCGTTCTCTTAACTGTAATAAATCTCATAGCGCACTAATAATATAAATAATTATTTTTTTCTAGTTTCTGTAGAATGGCAAGCGCCATTTATAGCTACCATAATAATTCATGCATCAATCATTTAAAGGAGAGCGCAGTGTTTAACTCCGTGGAATATAATTATTAGCGTTCTGAATTCTTTGGAAGAATTTATCCACTACAAAGCGAAGTGTTTAATATAAAATGGTCGTTTAAACGTGAATTTAAGACAAACTGTCGAGTTCTATAAAAGTTACCGCGAAAGACGACCAACTGGAACATTTTGCAAAGCAATAAAGTTACATAATAGATTTTTATGCAGAGAGTGCTTTTGCACGCGCGTCGTATTAAACTTGTGGTCTTTCCCAGTCCACTTTATCGTTTCTCAGCAAAATAATGAGCTTTTTCCCTTTGTGATATACATTCATATTAAAAAGAGTTGGAACTACACGTTTTCAGGAATTTTATTCTTGTGCGGACAATTTCATTGGCACCTTAGAAACAGCGCTTCAGTCAGTAACTTAAATGTCCCAGGTTGCAATGACATAATATTTTAATAAAGCATTAATAAG